AAGTTCTGGGTTTGATTTTCAATAATCTCAGCCCTGCCAATACAGGAGATATGGCTCTTCTTTGGGGCACACATGGAAGTTTTCAGGTCATTTATGCAGTGCTTGAGCTGGTAATTCAAATGCTTGACCTAATCTTTTTCTTTACCTACTTTGTCTAGTGACATTAGAAGCAATCAGCCAATTCTATTAGACTCATTAGTTTGCCAATAATGTTCAAAAGTAGCATATACAGAAACACCCAAACACTTGCATTTTATAAGTAGTTGATTTGGAGTATCCATGTATCTTTATTGCTAGACCTTGTTATGAACTATCAGTTATCTCTTTACTTCTGGAAATAAAGTCATTAGCACCTTTAAATATAATCAGATTAGACAGCCAGTTCAAGAAACTCTCAAACTAACTTACAAAATCCATTTTTAAAATTATGGTCCTCTAAAAACACTCTCAATACCAAAATCTGTATTCGTTAGGAATCTCCAAAAAAGCAGAATCAACAGGACATACACACATATACACACACACACATATATACGTATATATATAAATTCATATATATATGAATATTTGGGGTAATTGTTGTATGTATTTATATATATAAATACATACATACATATATGGAGAAAGAGAGAGAGAGAGTTGGGAAGGAATTATAAGGAGTTGATTTGGTTCACACAACTGTGGAGCCTGAAAAGTCTCAAGATCTGCAGTTGACAAGATGGAGACCCAGGAAAATTGACTGTGTAGTTCCAGTCCAAAAGCCAGTAGGCTTGAGATCCATGAAAAGCTAGTTCTTTAGTTTGATTCTGAAGGCAGGAAAAGACAGATGTTCCAGTACAAGGAGTCATACCGAAGTTTCTTCTCAATTGAGAGAAGATCAGACTTTTTTTTCTATTCAGGACTTCAACTGATTAAATGAGGACCACTCACATTAGGGAAAGCAATCTGCTTTACTCAGGCTTCCAAGTCAAATGTTAATATCATCCAAAAAGCAGGCCAGCCACAGTATCTCACACGTGTAATCCCAATACTTTGGGAGGCCAAGGCAGGAGGATTGCTTGAAGCTAGAAATTTGATACCAATCTGGGAAACACAGTGAGACCCTATATCTAAAAAAATTAAATTAAAAATTAAAAATGTCAAAAACATTCTCAAACACATATCCAGAATAATGTTTGACAAAATATCTGGGCATCCCATGGTCCAGTCAAGTTGGCACATAAAATTAATCATCAATGGAAGTCAAACCAGAATGACCTAGTGTTCTTTACAAATTACAGTAAACTTACCTTACTTTTTTCAAATATCACATATACATATGACCATATGAGCATACTGAAATGCCCATGCAAGTGGAAGCCCTGTTTATTCATCAGTTTCAAAGCACTGGTAAGTGACCTAGATAGTGAACTTACATAAACACATATCCCCAAAATACACTGCCAAAAAAAAAGCACCACCAACACCACCATATAACACTTTTTCTTCTAAAGTAGTTTTGTCCAATATTCCCAATCTATGTGATAGTCCATCCCAAGAATCATTGCTCTGACCACAGAGCCTAAGATTGCCATACCCACGTGGATCATGGGAATGGATATTTGACTATTTCAACTGTTCTTCATTTTGTATAACCATCAAAGCAATTCTCTCCATTCCACTTGAAATGAATAGCACGTCTTGAGGTTTTGGACAATACTATATTCCTTATCTTTATCAGAAAAAAAAAATCACAACAAAAGATACTTTTATTGTCCCTCAAGATTGTAATTGGTTGAATAATTTTCTGCTATACCGTGGGATACATTGCAGTCCTTTCAACTTTCATGAAACATGATTTTATTCTTAAAGCAAAATAATTCATCATTTTAAATCTTTCTTTTTCAAGAAACAAACTTATACTATTTCCACAAGGTCAACTAGCAGAGTACTTGAAGCTTTGGTTCTCAAGATAGAAAGTCCTTTATGAATCAGTACCAAGTACAGCATTGAACTAGGAAAGTCTTACTTTCTGAAGGTTTCCAAGGGTCCTTACTCATGGAGAGTCGGGGAAAGGATATATTTTTTATTTATGTATCTTAAAAAGGACTCGAGGAAGACTTTTTTTTCCTTTTTTTTTTTTTTTTTTTTTTGAGATAGAGTCTCACTCTGTTGCCCAGGCTGGAGTGTAGTGGCACAATCTTGGCTCACTGCAGCCTCCACCTCCCAGGCTCAAGTGATTCTCCTGCCTCAGCCTCCCTAGTAGCTGGGATTACAGACATGCATCATCATGCTCAGCTAACTTTTGTATTTTAGTAGAGACAGTTTCACCATGTTGGCCAGGCTGGTCTTGAACTCCTGACCTCGGCTAATCTGCCCACCTTGGCCTCCTGAAGTGCTGGGATTATAGGCGTAAACTGCCGCACCCGGCCGATTTTTTTTCCTTTTAAATTCCATTGGATTGGCCAGGGGCAGTGGGTCACACCTGTGATCCCAACACTTTGGGAGGCTGAGGTGTGCAGATTGCTTGAGTTGAGGAGTTCTAGACCAGCCCAGGCAACATGACAAAACCCCATCTCTATTAAAAAAAAAAAAATACTGGCCAGGCGCCGTGGCTCAAGCCTGTAATCCCAGCACTTTGGGAGGCCGAGGCGGGTGGATCACGAGGTCAAGAGATCAAGACCATCCTGGTCAACATGGTGAAACCCCGTCTCTACTGAAAAAAAAAAAATACAAAAAATTAGCTGGGCATGGTGGTGCGTGCCTGTAATACCAGCTACTCAGGAGGCTGAGGCAGGAGAATTGCCTGAACCCAGGAGGCGGAGGTTGCGGTGAGCCGAGATCGCGCCATTGCACTCCAGCCTAGGTAACATGAGTGAAACTCCGTCTCCAAAAAAAAAAAAAGATTGCAAGACAGAGTCTCACTGCTGCACAGGCTGGAATGCGGTGGCCTGCTCTCAGCTCAGTGCAACCTCTGCCTCCCTGGTTCAAGTGATTCTCATGTTCAGCCTCCTGAGTAGCTAGGTTAACAAATGGGCACCACCACACCCAGCTAATTTTTTTGCATTTTCAGTAGAAACAGGGGTTTCACTATGTTGGCCAGGCTGGTCTTGAATGCTTGGCCTCAAGTGATCCACCTGCCTCAGCCTCCCAAAGTGCTGGATTTACAGGCATGAGCCACTGCACCCAGCCTGCTTTACAAATATCTTTAAAGTTTTGTTCAGCTTTCAAGAAACCAAAACTAAAAATTGTAGGCAATGCATTACGATTATGGTTGAACAAAAAAAGACAACTTAGAAATTCAATAAGTGTATCCACATTTAAAAAAAAATAAACAAGGCCTTAACCCACCTTCAGAATAGTGCTATATGCATGTACAGTTTCAGGTGTTAATCTAAAATACAATGTTAATGTAACATTTTGAATGATTCCCCACTTTGACTACTGTCTGATTACAATTCTCAAGAGCCTTCCACTACACACCATTTACATGCTCACCTTCCAAATGTTATGTTCACTAATTTCTCAATGCCTACTCAATAAACTCTAAACTCTGTGGACTGGCAAATCTATACATTTTTACCCAACTTCATGTTCTATTTTTATTTTCTATTCATACACCTTATCTTTAGTCAATTACACTTATTATTCTCTGAATACATGGTTCAATTTTAAGCTCATGCTATGCTATTTAAAAGGAAGGAAGGAAGGAAGGAAGGAAGGAAGGAAGGAAGAGGGGAGGGCAGGGGAAGGGAGGGGAGGGAAGGGGAAGGGAGGGGAGGGGAGGGAAGGAGGGGGAGGGGAAGGAGGGGAAGGAAGGAGGGAGGGAGGGAGGGATAGACCTGGTGGACCTTTGGAGGGTAGGATGAGGAAGTGCCAGTTACAGGTTGAGGGAGTAGCAATGTCATCCCATCACGGGTGGGATAGTTGTAAAGCGCATTAGGAGAAACTAAAGGACTCTGGGCTGGGGAGGAAAAGACAGACCCTCTATTAGCTGAGCATCAACAGAGTCCCAACCAAAAAGTTCTAGAACAACCAACAGACTGTGATTTCAGAACAATTTCCAAAATAATAAATCTTGAAGACTTAAATCTCTTCACTTCTCTCATTCCTGATTCAAGAGGGAATAATTAATTTGATTATTTTTCCACTTTTGGCATTACTTTTCTGCCCCTAATTTTATTATTGTTTTTTATCAATTTTACATAGTTTTCCTAAAAATCAACAGTGTCCCAAAGGAGTTGAAAGCATATGTCCATGCAAAAAACTGCACAGGGACATTTATAGCAGCTTTATTCATAATTGCCCAAACTTGGAAGCAACCAAGAAGTTCTCCAATAGGTAAATGGATGAATGAACTATGGTACCTCCAGACAATGAAATAATATTCAGTCCTAAAAAGAAATGAGACATCAAGCCATGAAAAGACAAGGAGAAAATTTAAATGCATATTACTAAGTGAAAGAAACAAATCTGAAAAGTTACATGCTGTTGGATTACAACTATGTGGCATTCTGGAAAGGGCAAAACTATGGAGACAGTAAAAATAACAGTGGTTGCCAAGGGTTAAAGGGAGGCAGGGATGAATAAGCAGAACACAGGATTTTTAGCACAGTGAAATATTCTATAATAGTGGATACATGTTATCATAGATTTGTTCAAACTTACAGAATGTACAACACCAAGAGTGAACCCTAATGTAAACTATGAACTTGGGTGATAATGATAAGTCAAGGCAGGTCTGTCAGTTGTAACAAATGTACCATGCTGGTGAGAGATATGGACAATGGGGGAGGCTGTGCACATGGGGGCAGAGGGTACACCTGAAATTGTTGTATCTTCCTCTCAGTTTTGCTTGAACCTAAAACAGCTCTTTTTTAAAAACATCTTTTTTTAAAAAAAATGACAGTGTTATAAAAATTTCTAAGCTAGAAAAGACCTTGAGTGATTATCTTCCATCTCCCTATTTTAGACAGCATCACAATAACATCATCCTAGACAGATGAAGAGCTATTATTTTTAAAACCTCCAGAGTAGACAACCTCCCAACATTAACAACTCTCACTGTCAGGAAATTCTTCCATCTATAATCTAAATCTCTCATGCTGCTGTTCAAATCAGTTTTCACTCTGCAGAGCTGAGTCAATATTGAGAACAGCTGGTCTTCAGTTTCTATGCAGAAATTCTTCATTTGCTGCCACTGTAATGTAATGAGATTATATTTTCTGTGTAGCTTTGATTTAGTTCTTCGCTTACATCCTTGTCCAAGCTGATTAACCCGCTTCCCAGCCTACACATAGAGTTCATTCGTACCCTTATCTAGACTCCTACATCACTTTTCAAGTATCTCTACTAGAGCATTATCACAACTTAGTGTAATTATATGTTGATGTGACTGTCTCCCCACACCTCCTTCTATCTTATTCATATGCCTATCTCTGTAATTGATATGTAATAGGCTTTCAATAAATGACTGTCAAATGAATGAATGAATGAATGAATGAATAAATGAAATGGCACCCAGATAAACCATTTTCTTCTAACTATTTAGCTAAGGATGTGGGTGTCCTCTGTCAGGTAAGTTTCTCTTGATAAAAAGTAACAACTATACTAGTTTCGACCAAAACAGAGAATGTATGGAAGAATACTAGAATCACTTACAGGATCAAAGGAAGATGGATCAGAAAAGGTAGGAACTTGGGGGTTTTCTCTGCAGGAGGTTGTGGGCCTTCTTTCCAGAGTATTACAATGTGTCTCAGCTACCAACAACTTTCAAATTATACTATTTCTCTTCTTGCAACACTTTCAGTACACAAAAGAGACAAACTGATTGGCCCAGCTTAGGTGAGATAACAGGCCTGAACCAATTAGTCATGGTCCAGGGAACAAAGATGGCTAATGGAGACACAGCTAGGGCAAAGGCCAGCAGAGGACATGTCTGTGCATGACGGCAGCTCCCCAGAAAAGAGGAACCCTGCATTGTAGAGACACCTGGAACGATGACTACTACCAACAATCACTGAGCCCTTGGGCCCATTGTCACAGCTGAGTTATTGAGAGGATGTCACAGACCTAAATAAACAAGGTAATTACACTTTTTTTTCATTTCCTTATTTCTCTTTAGGCCCTCCGTTACCAAAATTTAAGATAAAAACCTATCTTACTGAGTTGAAATGTAAATTTCCTTTGAACTAGGGATCAGTACTTGAGCTAGTGATAAATATTATCACAAGATTTACAGCACACAGAAAAGTCTTTCAGAAATTCAGTACTTTTTATATGTCATTGAATTAGTAGCAGACACATGTCTAAGCGACTGAATCGCAAAGGGCAAAAAGGTAGAGGTGTTGCCATGGCCTAACACCCTGCCAACTTGCTCCACATGCCTGCAGTATCCTAATCCTGAAGTTCCTCATGAGTACACATGCCAAGAAGACACTGTAAAAGGAGAGGAGGAACAATTGGTCAGTTATGTAATAACAATAATTTGCAATAATTTAGAAGTGTTCAGTTTAAGTCAAATTATTTCATATCTCTTGTCTCATTTTACAATTGAGTTAGACACCTATCACACATTAAAATAGCCACACAAAAAATTCTTTGCAGCTCTTTCCACAAAGAGAAGTCAATTTCCCCACCCCTTGAATCTGAGCTGATAGAGACTTGGTTTGACTAAATGAGAGAAAATGACTTTGTGTGAATTCCAAGCTTAGGCCTTGAGAGACTTCACAAACAAGCAAACAAAAAAATTAGAAATCATGTGGAGACACCAAAATTTGAAGATGTTCGTTGGATCGAAGTAGATAACCTAAACATCACCCAAATGCAGTGGCCCTTTGCCCTTTATCTAATTTGGCACAAATCTATAATCTTCTTACAAAGAAACTTTTGTTTGGCATATCTTTATCTTTCTATCTATTCATCTGTCTGTGAAACCTCCAAGTTTATAGGCAAAGCAGTTTGGTTTCCTAACACTTTAAGAAAAAAAATTATACTTAGAATTTGGCTAATCCAGAAGTGCTATTCTCCAGGTTAAGACATTCAGGCAGTGTATAAAATTTTCCTAAATGTAAGATCATTTTCAAAATTCTTGCTGGTTTTTTTTTTTTGTGTGTGTGTATGTGTTATTTGCTGAGAGAATTAAACTTACGTTTTTATGTTTCCAGTTCTGTTCTCCTGTGTGAGCACCTGAAAGTTAACAGGGTAGTTGTAATCTACAGGCCATCTCCCTGGATGTGGAGATTTGGCTCTGCTCCACTTCATCTTCTCTGACTTCCTGATTTGAAGATCTGTCACAGGCCCCTTGCTGTGAGACCTTTTTTCTGTTTTGCTTTTATCTTTACTCAGAGACTTTCAAGAATTCTTCTTTGTTCCTCCCATTTCCATAGTTACTTTGGTATTTGAATATTTTCCTATGTTTCATCCTGCTGAAAGAGTTTATGGATGCTTAGTTTGAATATAGGATGAGAGCTGGGATACTTAATAATTAGCACAGAAGCCAGCCTAGAAATTCCCACAGCTGGCTGTACCTTATACCCCTCTCTACTCATTATTTTTACTATGGTTTTGGTAACATTTTGTTTTTCAAAAATGAAACAAGTCACAGTTTCTTGACTAAAGAGTATCATATTCATTTTATATGGCTCTACCTTTTTATTTATTTTTAATCTAATGTCATTACTGTTCTTTTTTCAGTTTCCAGTTCTGATTTTATTTTATCCTATGATAATTCTTTGGTTTTCTATATCTCATTATTCTATTCCCCCTTCCCTAAATATAGCATCTCTTTTTACTCTGAAAAAGGATTGTGATCACCCTGATAAACAGTAGGCAAAAAAATCCTAAGCTCTTTGGAACAAGAGTTAAAACATATTATTTTAAGAGATGTCTTCAATCTCTATGATTTCTCCAGACACCAGGACACTATAGAACCAGCTGCCTCTATTCACATTCACTACTTGCCACTCCAAAAGAAACAATGATACCATGAAATGAAGGGAGGGAGGGGCTTCATGAGAAAATTGGGACACTATTGATGAAAAACATCAAAAAGAAATTCTTCTAATTCACTTTAAATGGAGTTTATATTGGGAAAAAATAAATAAATAAAGTGGAGCATTTGATCCCATTCATCAAAAAGCACTTACTGAGCACCTTGGTAATACAGGTTGTATCTGCATGCCTCAATTTCCAGCATGCTTATATAAATTATCTCATATGTGAGGTAGGTAAGCAGAAAATCAATGAGTTATTGTCTATGAAACACTTTAACTGAATACACAATATAAACATTAAGAAAAAATATTTCGGTTTTACGCATAAGCAAATGGGGTCTCAAAGAAGTGGAGAGCCCTACCTAGTCTGACAGGCCTGGTGTCCTGACTTCCATAAAGCTTTGCATCACACTGCTTTTCTGTGAGCCTCCTCTGTGCAAGGCAGAGGGATATATGGAAACCTCTGATTTGAAAAGGTTTACAAATCAGTTATGGAGAAATGTCATACACATAAAAGAATAACATGATGATGATGGTTGTGGTGGTGAAGATGATGTTAGTTGACACTTTTATAGTGCTTACCCTGTGCTAGGCATTGTTACACAAGTACTGACCCATTTAATTCTCTCAGCAATCTTTTAAAATAGGCATCATGAGATAATTAAGGCAGAGAGATTTAGTTACTTGCCCGAAGTCACCCGGATAGTGGGTGGTAGGATTGAAATCATTCGACGTCAGCTGCCTGGCGCCAGGGGCTATGTTTGACTACTATACTCTACTGCCTTTCTGTAAAACAGTATATGGAAACATTCCATATTCATGACATAATTAGTATGGTAGAATGTCAGGGAGATTTATATTGGGGAAAAAAAAGACAAGCATTTGTCTCACCAAAAAACTAGTATAGAACAGAAATTTGGGGAAAGATTTAGTTAAACAGAAGAAGCTAAGAAAATATGAAAGATAGAAAAGAAAAAGAAACTCTGCCCCATGTTTTCAGGAACTACCCATGGAACCTGTGTGACTAAAAGAGAGGATCTGTGTGGTGGCAAAATGGATATTGACTGGAGTGTTAAGTGTGAATAAATTGTGACTTGTCTGCAATGAAAAGCTAAGACTAGACTCAGTAATAAATAATGAGAAACCCCAAAGGCTAAAGTTCTCAAAAATTTGCTTTCCTGTGATAAACACATTAGGGAGAGGAAGGCATAAAACTGAGAAGAGCAGTTAAGCAATGATTGCACAGGTCCCTGTGTCATGAGGTCACAGTGGGGCTTAGGCTAAAGTGACGTGCACGGGGAAGGGAAGGATAGCAAGCATATAAACAACATTACCCACTGAGGATTAATAGGACCTGGCAACTGACAGGATGAGGAAAATAAGGGATTTCCAGGGTGACTCGAAGCTTCCAAGCTTGCATGAATAAGAAAATAACAATGCCATTTATAGAAACAGGGATGTCCAGAAAGGGAGCTGATTTGGAGACATTCAGATTTGAATATACTAAATTTAGGGTGACAGGATAACATCCAAGTTGAAAGGCTGAGAATTGATTAACAAATATTTATTGAACCCCTATATTGTGTTAAGACAACATACTAGAGCCTGGGGAGACTGCTGTGACAAGACAAGGTCCCTCCTCTCAGGAAGCTTGGAGTGGCAACTAGAGGATTATGCAGATTAGAAGAAAGCCAATCTGCTGGATTAGATGGCTAGAGCCCGGATGGTGCTGTGTGTATATATATATATATTTTTTTTTCTCTCTCTCTTTTTATATTTAACCTTCTAAAAGATTCAACTATTTATATTCAGTCTCTCACCCCATTGAGTGAATTACTATGCACAGTTGTTTTTCTTCACAGAGAATTAAAGTTAAAAATGCTTATTTAGGAAACCTAGAGACAGGAGGGTATTCCAAGTCAAGTACCAGCTAGGGTTTGCTAACAGTAGGAATTATCAAGCTTCCAGTCAAGAGCCAGCATCAAAAAGAAGAAAAAAACAACTGCACAACAACCTGTTTGCTGATGGAGATCAGCAGGTTGCCTCTGCTCCTCATATGGACATGCAGACCCTAGGCTGATGACAACTATTTGCAGCTCACACTTGTGCCTGTCATTGGGTCTGGAGCTTAGTTTCAGAGTAGAAGAACCCAAGGGCTAGATATGGCCTATGGGCCTATTCTGTGTGGCCTATATAAGATTGTTTCTTTGAGACAATACTTAAATTTCAGGTTTGGAATTCAGAGGTTACACATAAAACTCAAGATTTCCAGCTGCTCTTGAAAAATCCGAATGTATTGTCAACATTGGGTCTTTTCTGCTGACAATATTGGGCTGGAGTTAAGTTAGAACTGCTTCCATATAGAAACAGTCCATACCCCTCACACAACAAATACTTGGCTACTTCACTCCTGATGTTCTCTGTATGGCTCCCGTAGTATTTGAACTTGCAAACTCTCAAATGTGTAGTTCTCTAGGGAAGTTAAGCAAACATGCTTTCTGGCAAGAGATAGTAGGCCAAGAAACTGTAGCAGCATCTGACATATTAAGAGGAATGAAAAATTGAAGGCACTCTCCAATAGCAAATAGGGGGCTCTTTCAGGAGAAAGATGCTTTGGTCATTAGCAAATGACACTTTGGGCATGTAATTTATATTTTCTGAAACTCAACTTCCTGATTTGTAAATTGAATCTAATAGGGATTCAACAATCCCACTACTGGTTATGTATCCAAAGGAAATAAAATCAGTATATTGAAGAGATAGCTGCACTTTCATGTTCACTGAAGCATTATTTATAATAACTAAGATAGAGAATCAGCCTAAGTGTCCATTAACAGATGAATATACCAAAAAATAATGTGGTACATATACACAATGTAATCCTATTGAGCCTTTTAAAAGAAGGAAATCCTGTCATTTGCCACAACATGGATAAACCTGGAGAACATTAAGTGAAATAAGCCAGGCAATCAAGAGACAAAGAACATATGATCTCAAATGCAGAATGTAAAAAAGTTGAACTCATAGAAGTAGACAGTGTAATGGTGGTTACCAAGGGCTGGGGGTGGGGAGTTGGGGGGAAGATGTTGGTCAAAGGATATAAAATTTCAGTTAAACAGCAGGAATAAGTTCAAAGGATCTATTGTACAATATGATGGCTATAGTTAATAACAAGGTATTGTATCCTTGAAAATTACTTAAAGGGTAGCTTTTAAGTGTTCTCAACACGCACACACAAAAAATATGTGATGTAATGCATCTTAATTAGCTTGATTTAGTCATTTCACAATGTGTACATATTTTTAAATGATGTTGTACATGATAAATACAGTTTTTATTTGTCAACTAAAACATTTTTAAAAGAAACTAACAGGATTTTTCCCCCCTAAAAAATTGCTGATGCCATTAAATGAGATCATGCTACATGAAATCCTTAGTACAGCGCCTGGCATTTATGATTGCTAAGTAAATTAAAATAATTCTTATAATTGTAGGTATTCTTTTCAGAGGCAATCACAAGCTTCAGGTGCAAATGTAACCTGGCTTTTCTGTATACTTCACTCACGCATGTCTACTGAGCACCTATTCTAGCTTCATGCAAGGCATTGGAAACACATATAGAACAGACATACCATCTAAGAAGAAAAATTGGAAGTAAAAGACTGAGAAGAGACCAAGAAAATTCAAGACCACAGTCAAGGAAAGAGTTATAGGCCAGTCGCAGTGGATCACGCCTGTAATCCCAGCACTTTGGGAGGCCTAGCCAGGCACATCACCTGAGGTCAGGTGTTCAAGAACCAGCCTGGCCAACATGGTGAAACTCCGTCTCTACAAACACACAAAAATTAGCCGGGCGTGATGGCAGATGCCTGTAATCCCAGCTACTCAGGAGGCTGAGGTGAGAGAATCACTTGAACACGGGAGGCAGAGGTTGCAGTGAGCCGAGATCATGCCATTACACTCCAGCCTGGGCAACAGAGTGAGACTCTGTCTCAGGAGAAAAAAAAAAAGTATACAGAAAGATGTCAGAAAAAGATGAAAGGCAGAGAATAAGTCTCTTCCTATGTTGAATTTAGATACAATATTTCATCCTCCACAGAAAAATGAGCATCCACAAAAAATGACTCTGTAACAACTAACCCTTATGTAGCACTTACTACACACCAAGCAGTATTCCAGCTGTTAATACTTTATACATATTAGTTCATATAATTTGCAGAACAACTTTTAGATAGGTTATTTTATTTAGCTTTTACAAATGCATAAAAACTGGCTCACAGAAGTCAATAATTTGCCCAAGGTTATTCAACTAACAAATTAGTAGAGATAAACTTTAAAACTAGGAATTCTGGCTCCACAGTCAATGTTTTTGAGCACTTTCAGATATGTATAAGGTAACTTGCAATTAGATTCTGGAAAAAAAGGTATTTTCA